ATGAATATTAATCTTCATCTTTAAGAGTAGAATAAAAATAATTTAGGTTATGAACAATCTTTTTATTTTTCACATTCATCGGTGGGATTTCTTTCACTTCCTTTTAAAAAATAAAATCGAGTATTTTCACACAAAAATAGCATTTGATAGCCATTTACATCGTGAAGACAAAATAAAGTCCAAAATTTTTTTGGCAGTTTTTTTATGAGAAATAATATTTTTTAATAATCCTTTTTTCATTCGACATACTTTATCTTAATCAATACTATTTTTGTGTAAAAATACTCGATTTTATTTTTTTAATTTTTAACTTTATAATGCTATGGATCAACACAATTTTTTTATTTCTGGGGGTAAAATCTGATAATGTATACATTTTAATTCCTTTGATTAAATTATAATAATATTTAATTAATATACTGGCTTAATATATTTTTATATTTTATAAACAATATACAAAGAACTATTTTGCTACTATGGGTAAACACAAATATTTATATACATTAGATCAATACCTGAAAATTACCTACATACCTTAATTTTTGTGTCTTACATTTTTGAATAGTCATAGTTAATATTGTATAGAATTTCTTATTTATAGTTTAATTGTAATTAGTTTTACATATGTATACTTAATAGTTATAAGTGTACTAAATACAATGTCAAGTGTACACTCCGGTAAAGTTACTAACATAGTGTTAAAATTTGAAGAGCTAATAAAAATTTCTGAAAAAAACTATATATGCAAACCAATTAGTCAACAAAAAAGATTGACAGAACGTACTTTTCGACCAATTCAAATAATTAGTCCAACAGATAAGTCCGCGGACGAAACAACTTTCACTAACGCAAATCCAGAAAATCCAAAGAACAATGAAGTCAAAAAAAAGAAGTTTAAAGGTGAGTCAAGGGTACATTTAGATAATTGACCTTTACAAAATCATTTAAAGAATACGTTTTATAATTTTCCTATGAAAAACAATGATTTTTCAAATATTTTAATACAACGTTTGTTCTCTCTAACTCTGAGTTACTCAAATAGGAATTCAGCTTACAAAATTTAATTGTGCTGAATTTTGTGGAGTTTAAAAATTGCGGAGAAAAAGGGATACAGGTATCATACGAATATGACACCATAACAAAAATAATTCCATATTACAACAAAATTATTTTTCGTTAAGAAGAGATACTGAATATTTTTTTTATGTATATAATTTGATGTATGGGTAGTATACAATATAAATAATATACAGTGTATTTAGTAAGTAAGAAAACAAGTTTCTATTGTTTAAATAATTGACCTGTTTCCTTACTTACTGAACATTCTGTATAGTATATCCTCCAGAACAAAACTCTAGTTACACCTCTATAAAAAAATATAGAATTTCTAAATTATTGAAAAATCATGAGCTTTTGACATTCAAAAGCCAGAGAATCCTTGTATACTCATTTGAATGTAAAAATATCTAATGAACTAAAATGTTTATTTTGGATACATCCAACCTAACAACAGTCATAAGCCAAGTGGGACAAATGTTAATGAATGGGTTAATTATTCTTCTTAGAGTATATAGTACTTTTTACTTCAGATAGGACAACACCAATCGTCAAGTATATAAAATGTTTAATTATTTAAATATAAGTAGAAAATTAAAGGTTATGCATTTCGTTCAAAAATGCATCTATGTTTAACCCACTTGGCCATAATACAATAACAAACAAAAAATGATAAAAATTATTAATATGTTTTAAGGAATAAAGAATAAAATATCTTTTTTTGAAAAAAAAGCTGCATTAATACAGACTTCTAATGATATAATAACCAAAAATACATTGGGTAAGACCAATGAACTAGATAAAGATATAGAACACGTAAAATATGAAATAAATATAAATAAGAAAAATACAGATAATTATGGCAAGATAACTGGTAGCTTAGAATTAGACTTACACAAAGAAAAAGAACTTGATAAAGTTCAACTAAATGTTAACGAACAGATCCAGACTAATATAGATGGTAGGACTACCAATAACCCACAAAAAAGAAGCGATATATTTAAAATTGAAAGTAATAATAAACAGCACTTAGAGGAAGAAGGAGATTGCGTAAATGAGCTAGACGCGATGACAGATGAGAAAAAAATAGATGATGATGATGAGATAACTGATAGCTTAGAATTAAGTTTACAAGAAGAAAAAAAACTTGATAAAATCCAACATAACACCAAAGATATAAATGTATTACCCATTTTTCAAATGCCTAAATCATCAAAAACGCCAAAATGTCAAAAAAATAAAAAGAAAAGAAAAGGAAAGAAATCCCACCGATGAATGAGAAAAATAAAAAGATTGTTCATAACCTAAATTATTTTTATTCTACTCTTAAAGATGAAGATTATATTCGTAAGAGCTGAATTTAACATAAAAAATTTACTTAAATAAATTAACCTATAATTAATCTATAATAATCTAGTAATAATCACTTGTATTAAATAATAATATTGATTTGTCTAAATAAATGTATTTGAAACAGTATTTAATGTATTTTTATTAACCAGTCTCATTGTTAATTAGATAATTTTAGAGATCATAATAGAAATCGAGTGGCTAGCGTTGTGCAACAATATTATTTAAATATTGTTTCTATTACATTTCATTAGCTCTAATAGGTAATTCTAAACCTATTTAAATGAAAAATTTTAATAAAATGTTGAATATGTTTAACCTATTACAACTCATAGGTGCAATCTGGTGGGTTGTGGCTTTTCAAATTCTGCCATTGTCATTTAAAAATAATGAAAGTTACATTTATTTTTGTATGGATTCTTTTTTTAAGATTAGATAAAATTAAATTAGACCTATCAAATATTTTGCTCAAATTGTACCTATGTTACAGCTACTCATTTGTATCAAATTACCAAAACGGAGAATTTTACATAATACTCTGTTTCATCGGCATTTTAAAGCTTTTGCAACGTTAAAAGTACATATATTTAATGTGACTTAAAATGTAAGATATTAAATTTATATAAATTTAGCTAACAATTGTTTTGGATATTTAATTGTTTTTATTTTAAAAAATAGTTTTTGATATATTTTTAGTGTTATGTGTACATCGTTTTTATTAATAAGTTTACTTAATTGTGTACATTATTAAATGGTGTTATTATTTTTATTTTATTAGGCTATTTAAGTTTTTAACATTTTAATTACACTAATTATTTTGCTAAAATTATCTTATTGAATATAATATATTTTGAATAGTTTCTATTTGAATTGGATCTGCATCTACCATTGCTTAAGTTCCAATTCTAGATTCATAAAAAAAATCATAAGACATAAAATTGATATTTTAATTAAACATTTTTTTTATAAATACCTATATCAATATGCTCTTCTAGTGTTTCTATAAATGTATCCTCGGTAAATGGATCAAATTTAAATCCCAATTGAAAATACTTCCCTATAATTGTTGTATTGATATAATCCTTTAATTTTCTGGTTAAAAATTTGACAAATACTAATTTTATGCCCTGATTAATATTTACATTATACTGTTGAACCCATTTTTTCCATAACTCATCCTTATCAAATGATACAAATTTACAATAGGATACAGCTTTATTGTTTATTTCACCTTCTATTTTTAGAAAAAAATTATTTATAGTACTTAATGTCCAAGTGTATGTAGAAACATCATCACGTGATAAAGATAGTTCGTTTAATTCGTCAATAATATTTCCTATTTCCCCTATTGCAGAACTCATCATGTAGTAGTTGTTATAATACCATGAGTTATTTTTCCATGGATATTGTTGAATTGAATCTAAACTGTCTATAGCTCCTTTCATTAATGCTGCCATTGGAACAATTAATAATGATATTATGTCAATGAGTTCTTCAGTACAAATACATCCATTTATGAAATCGTTCTCGTTTATAATTTTTTTGTAGCATTTTTGTAGAATGTTGCTAATAACTGGAAATATATTATTTAAAACTTTTACGTATGTACAATTAAGATGTAACATCAAAGCACATATTTTTTGATCACATTTATAGCGACACGTAGGTGTTTGAATCAGATTTTTAATATAATAACTTTTTCTGTAATATTTTATAAACTTCAAATCATTTAAATTATTCCATCCGGGATAGCTTAATAACTTATCTAACTGATCAACATTTTTTTTTAAATTTGGCTTTGGTTTTGTATACAATATTACAGAAAATAATACAAAACTAAATGTGTAAAGTTTTAATGAAATCATTTGGAAAATTATTAATTTTATTTACGACGTAAAATTTTTAGTTAAAATGTAATTTGATAAAGCGTTAAAGCCCCGTATTTATTCTATTCCACATTTATAAATAATAAGATATTTATGATAAAACATTTGTCGTTTTAATATTTAACTATATATTTTATGACGAATTTTCATTATTTTAACTATGTCAAATAAAAATGTAGAAAAATATAATTAAAATAGTTATCAAAAAGTTAATGTTTTACATATTTTTTTTTAATAGCTGTAATATATATTTACTGAAAAATTAAATTATATTTTAGCTTTCATGCGAAGCATAGAAGGTATTAATTATACCATTATGTGTTTATTTATTTTTTTTTTTTTGTGTCTGTCACTACTTTTTCTCAACTCTCACTTAACCGATATTTCTCAACGATACGTCAAAAGATCACAAATCGTATCTAGTTGAAAACATTACCCTCAAAATTTGAAAATTTTGCCCTCGTTCCCCGTAAATAGTGAAAATCCCCCAAAAAATTACGATTTTACATTATTTTTCTCTTGCCATAACTTTTTGAACAATGAACAATTTAAAACAATTCTTTTTTATAATGAAACCTTAGATATTTCCCCCTTTCATTTGACATAAATTTTTTGAAACTCTGACATTTTCCCAGCCCACAAGGGGGATCAAAATAGCATCTTCTGCTATTTAACTTTTTCAACTTAAGTTTGAAAATATTCCGGAAATACTACGAGCTTCAAACATACTCAACTACTTAGGGTCGGCCACCCTTATTCTATACTTCTACTGGACACTACCAACCATATATTACATCTTAATATTTTTTAGATTGAAACTAATATTTAAATACATTTAAATTTTAAATAGTTTTTATTATTTATATAATAACCATTTCTAACAGGTGTTCTAGAATCGTTTATAAAAGTATCTACAATTTTATTTTATTATTTTTAATATATATATAGTTATTCTTATTATATAATTATATTATTCATTTCTTTTTATTTAAATAGAATAATATCATTAGGTTCTAATAATTATTTAAAAATTTACAAAATAACCATGTAAATTTTGATTAATTTTAAAACATTCATGTAGTACAAAATTAATTATAATACAAATATAAAGTGTTTCTACTTTTATTGACGTTAAAAACTTTTTATCTAATGTTTTACATTCCAATTCTACATTTGTAAAAAAAATTTATGGGACATTGAATTAATATTTTAATACATAATTCTTTTAAATATCAAGTTGAATTAACTCATTTGGTGTTGGTAAAAACGTTTCTTCTGTATTGGATCAAATTTAAATCCGAATTGTAAATACTTTTCTATAATTACACTCTTGATATAATCCCTAATATTTCTGGTTAAGAATTTTAAAAAATACTAATCTTATGCCTTAGCGATAATGGTTATGAATATATAACCAACCCAATAATTCCATAAATACTTTGAAATATTTTATCAAATTATAATTGTATGAAGTATCAATAGATCTGTCTTTATGTCGTTTTATTATATTATAACAGGGTTCGATCATTTTTTTAATTTTATAGTTATGCGACACACTTAACTATTACTGACGAGTATTGTTTTTTTAGCTTCGATGCGAAGCTGAGAAGGTATTGGTTTTACTAAGATGTGTTTTTTTTTTTTATTTTTATTTTTTTTTTGTGTCTGTTACCACTTTTTCTCAGCTCTCACCGAACCGATTTCTTTTAATGATACGTCAAAAGATCACAAATCGTATCTAGTCGAAGACATTACCCTCAAAAATTGAAAAAAATTCCCTCGTTCCCTGTAAATGGGGAAAACCTCCGAAAAAATTACAAATTAAAAAATTTTTTTTTTATAGATGCATGATGTCATTATCTATCATTTGGTATATATTTTTTATAAATCTGACTTTTTACCTGCCTACAGAGGGGGATTCAAAATGACAATTTTTTCACAAAAAATTGACTTTTTCAACTTAAATTTTGAAAGTGTTCCAGAAAGTCTGATACTTTTCTATATATATTAAATTAAAGCTAATGTAATCTACTTTATTATGTAAAAAAAAAATTTCGGACTTTATTGTGTCTTCACGGTGAAAATGGCTACCAAATGCTATTATTGTGTGAAAATTCTCAATTTTATTTTTTACATTTTTAACTTTATAATGCAACATCTTATTGAAAAGTGTATTGATCAATATAATTTTTTTATGGGAAATACTATTTTTTAATAATCCCTTTTTCATTCGACATACTTTATCTTAATCAGGATATTAATAAGGAACTAGCAGTTTATGAAGCTTTTGGAATAATCCACCAATTTTTTAAAATTAAACACTATCTAAAGATTTGCATCGAAGCGTTTTTTTTTTATAGTGATTTTAATCACTGTCAGATATCATTATACTTGATCCAACTATGCCACGTCACCACTGTGCCGCGACCCCCCTGTGCTGGGTTTTTTTAAATCTAAAATTAGATAAAAAAAAATTTAAATGCACAAAATCCCCAGTGGTAAGTCTTGTTTGATAAACTCTTAGACTTTTTATTAATATATCTCAACTATTGCTTTGGAAAATTAATTGTTATAGATAAAAAAAAGTACTAAGCTGTGGCTCTCTATATGAAAATGTGTTTTATTAGTTTTTACTATTCCATATGCTTAATAATTAACGTGGTATGTCTGTATATACAAATTTTATTATTAAAATAACTTATAAAAATTAGTCATTTTTTTACTTTTTGATGTAACTTTACATTGATATTTATTAAATTCTAGTGTAATCAACTATACTAGAATCAATAAGCTTATCAAATTAAAGCTTTCTAAGAGTATGGAAAAACCGGACAAAGTGCATATTGTTAATTTAGAAGCAAAAATAAGTACTAGTGAGAAAAAAATAATTTATTAAATAACCCTTAAAAGTTATGGTGACTGTAAAATAAGATAGCATTTTAAAATTTCAAATGCAATTTTTTCAGTATACAAAAAACTGACTTGCCTTGTTTTTTTCGTATACACTTCATAAGTAATTTAGTAAAACTTATGCAAATCACTTAACGTCAATTAACATAAGTGTATCGATTTAAATCTGAAATAGTCAAAGTGAAATGAGCATCGAAATTTTAATAAAATGTTGAATATGTTTAACGTATTACAACTCATAGGTGCAATCTGGTTGGTTGTGGCTTTTCAAATTCTGCCATTGTCATTTAAAAATAATGAAAATTAAATTTTTTTTTATATGGATTTTTTTTTAAGATTAGGAAAAATTAAATTAGACCTATCAAATATTTTACTCAAATTGTGCCTATGTTATAGTCTTTGTTCTCTAGTAGTTACTCTATTCACGTTGTTACAATTGTTAAATCTACTGTGTATTCAATATTTGCATTTTCATACTGTTGATAATATCATTACGGAAACACATTTAGCATTGTAATTTTGTAGGAAGTTTGCTTACAACAAATCTTCTAGTAATAATTTTAAATGTAATACATAGATATATCGTGGTTGATTTAAAATTTCTTATTATATATTGGTCTATTGGTAATGTAAGTGAATTATAATATTCTTTTATTATTGTCACCAGTAACAATTCTTAAAAAATTTAAGTCAAAATCTTAAATATATCATTGAAATCAATATTAGTATTCTAATATTACTTTATGGTGGGCGATAAAACTTCACCCAGTTGAATCTCAAAAGTATTTTACTTAAATAGAATTTGACTTTCAAAATTAAATTATAATTATCAAATTTTATTGTCATTTAGTTGCTAATGTTACTCATTTGTACTATTACTATTTGTAATCGATCATAATTTAATTAACATTATCTATTCACCTCAGAAAATTAATTTACTTCTCAAGTTATAATTATACTAAACAACAACATAAAAGTGTTTTAAAATACAAAAATAATTTTAAATCTATAGAGCAAAAAGTGTATTCTTACCTGTAGGTTACCTATATATATATATAAACAAATTTTTATTGTTAGCCAAATTTATTGTTTACGGCAAAACAATACTAAATAGTTTTTAGAAATTCAATTCTAGTTGTATTTTATATAAATTGAAGATTATGTCATAAATTGTTACTAAAAAGAAACTTATGAATTTGAATTATTCATTTTTGTTTGTCAAATAAATAGTAAAATTGTAAATAGCTTAAGGAAATTTGCAGCGTCAATTAATTATCAATAATAAAAAAAAAATTCAACAATAAAATCACTAAATTTTAAAGAGACTGGTGTATATTATGTTGTAAAAATTATTAAAACCTAAAAATTCAAATGAATGATAATTTGAATATTTGGCCTAGTAAGATTATTCATTTAATTTTAGTTATAAATTTAATATTTTTTTTTCTCGCCTTAATTCCAAATACAAATTTAATAAAAAAAACATTTCATACTAATTTATTATAAAAAAAGACATTCGCTAAGTATAGCTGTTGAACATTCTCATTTCGTTTTTAAACTTAATATTTGTGTAATAAATTTATTTTATTATTAGCTGACACGGTTTGAGGAATGATAAAAAAAGATCGTTGGGATCATTGATTAGTTTCATTAATCAAACTAAAACCGAATATTGTGTCCAGCGATATGAGATAACTATCGACTCCCGCGGTGCTTGTCTGTCGGGTTTATTAATTCCACCGGTGTGCAGCACTCCGTGGGGGAACCATTGCAGTACAATCAGTCAAAACGGATTTTTATTTTTTGGCCACCTCTTTGTTAAATTCTCATTTAAATTTGTAATATTCAAATTCTGTCAGTCTCTATGCAACCTCTGTTTACACGTTGATGATTAGGGCCCAGAATTATATGCATGTATACATTTTATTTATCCTTTTTAGAGGGTTCCAACTTTGTGCAACTTTGTCATAGCATAATATAGTAGCGTAGAAATACTTATTGTTTTGGGTAGAAATAATCTTATCCAAAACTATAACCTTGGTAGCAACACATTACTGTGTTATCAAGTCAATTGATACGAATTTTTACTGGCTAAGGGTGTTCGAGATAACTTAACAAAA